AGATACCTGCCTGATTTTCCAAATGCTTGGGCTTCTCATCAGCCCTCTGGGAAGAATAAGGAAGCAAAGCAGAAAGCTGAATGTCTAATTAAACCGATGGAAGGTACGTAGTCAGCTCTGCAGAGACCCTTTGAAACACAAAAGCAAGGGAAGAGGTGTTCAGTGCCTTTACAGGCCTGAATTTTATCTTTGCTTCGTAACCTCAAAAACATGGAAGCACTTTTTGCTGTGTAGATCTGTAAATCTGATAATGTTTTATTTCACAACAAAAATGGAGGCATGGTAGAGATAGACTTGAGGAGTGACTTCATGCTTAGCACAGCTTGTTATTTTAAATGTCAGTCTCCTGGGGGAGGTTCCCATGCCAAGAGTTGTCTTCGGAGGTTAGACGCTGAGAAAGTGGGTGAACACACACCCAACTTGTAACTCAGTCACCCTTCTACCTTCATAAAGCAGAACAAAAAGCTTACAAAACCACACTATAAGTAGGGCACATAGCTGGGAAACAGCAAGAAGGACATTTTATTTAAACCTGGATAAAAGAAAACAGTCACAAAAGAGTTTCTGCGCTTCTCTGCAGCACACCACACCTAGGAGACTAAACAGGAATATAATCATCTATATGTATTTATTCAAGGCAGGGATCTGACCTTTCCAGGTTCATTTGTTTCAGTAAACTTTGCTCATATTCATAAGACTTGCAAGACTGGAACATCAAATAATTGCTGATAATATAAAAAAGTGTGATAGGAGGGACAACAGTGTTTCTTATTATGTGATTATCTTGTTTTTCTTTGAGACTCTGAGAAATCACTTCAAGTACTTTGATTATTTTCCTGACAAATGTACATTTTTCAATTGGTCATTGCACTTCCTCAGATATGAAGCTTTTCTGTGGTCTTTGTGAATCTTAATGAATACATTAAACTCGGAACCAAATAATATTATGGCAATTATTTTGTTCCAGGTTCATCACTCAATCATCCTTTCAGATGAAATGCCAGCCTGCAGGTTGAGCAACAGATCCAGACTGCTTCAGGGATTGCGTGGCTTCAGTCTTTGTCACTTGACTCCAAAATGACACCATGTCCTGACCTATAAAATGAGGACAATAAAATCTATTCACCTTTGTAAACACTGGTTGAACAGCAGTATGTAAATTCAAAATTGCAATTAAACTGAGGCAGAGGGCCAAGTAATCACAAAGCCCTCCCTACTTGAATCAAGCTCATTAATAGTTCTGCTGCTGGAACCATTTTTCTAATGACTTGGTAATGAGCTGACTACAGTCTGCAAAACCAGATTCTGCATAACTTTTTAAAGTATATAATTACATGGTGATATTGCCTTGAATTTGTGTGTGCACATGGAACAGAAAAAAAAACCATACCTAAGCCAAAGACTTAAAATCTGTTCTTGCTTATTCCCAATTTGTGTTGGTTGTAACTCTGCAGTCAGCTGTGCCATGGGGAGGAATGAGGGTATTCTGGCTTTTCTGCTGGTTCCCAGCACTGTGGTGGTACTTCAGTAGTACAGTGGATCTGCTACTTTCTGAACCATCAACCAAAAATGCTGTAGCTGTACAACCAACTCACATCTCTGACTTTCTTCTCTTGCATGCTAGGTTACCCAGGACTCTTAGCAGACAGACAGCTTCATTTTCTATGAGACGAGATGCATCTGCAGGTAAGGCATCACACTTCATTAAGCATGTCCCTCCATATGCAGTGAAGGCATTATATACACTTGAGTGGGGTACGCTGCTGTTTCATTCCAACCTGTTTTTCGTAAGGTAACATCAGCCAGTAGCCTCAATACCAACAAATGTTGGACATTAATCTGTCTTCCTTCCTTCTCTCCTTCCTTCCAGCACACCATTAACTGCAGTAATCTACCCAGGGAACCCATTTTTAAGCCCAAAGTAGATTTATATTTCTAGTTTGCAAAAGCACAATTCTTGCCTGATCCGCACTATACCACAGGCATGAATCTGCAATAGAGATGTGTTCACATCCACAGCATACAAGTTAGTAGGTGGCACCCCCTAAGGTCCATCTCTGGCCTTCACCCTTAGCAGCTCCACATCATTACCTCTGGAAACACAATAAAATTAACCAAACAAATCAGCACGTGCAGTATCTCACATGCTTTCTCGCTGTGTTCCTTGTTCAGGTCTCCTGTTGCACAAACAGTTCAGCTGGAGTTTGCTATCCAGTCACACACCTATAGACTGCACCAGATGGAAGAGCCTGATTCTCTCCCCTCAGCTTTGACTTTTCACAATGGCTGCCTACAGTGGGAGAAATGAAAGTGCAAGGCCTGGGGGTTCAGGAGACACATGTCACGTTTTAAGTTCTGCACTGAAAGAGAAACCCTCCTGTCAGGGCAGTTTCCTAGGTCTACATTGAGTTCAATACAGTGAAAGTCCAACCCAGTTCCCCACAGCTATTGCAGCAGTGGCAGCAACCACAACCACCATAATGGAATCCAAGACGTATATATTTTGACCTTACTTCAATTATTTTCTGCATCTGTAATCACAGTGTATTCACAGACATAATCTAAAAACCTATAATCTAATGCAGGAACCACTGTATTTTTTTCCATTTTAAAGTTGTCAAGAAGCTGCCTATATGCTATTTCCAGATAAAGTTAGTTATTTCTCATGGCTATTAAATGATACTAAAGAAGTGTTTACTGACCATACCAACAGCAGACCATCTTTGAGATTATTTGTGAAGGAAACGTTCAATGCAGGAAAAATGAAACTATAGCAAAAATAGTCACAGTGACCACATCTCTGCAATCAAAACCTTTTCCTCAGCTTCAATGTTGTTTAGTAAAGTAACTGGGACGCCCCTCATTTGGTTTCTGTTGTTTGCAGAGATGGCAGCCTGAAGTTATTTCAGTTATTACACCTGCCAGTGAGACTCCACCGCCAATGGCTGTGGTTTTTATGAGGAAGTTGGCTCTCTGTTTGCCCAGCAAAACACTTCACAACTCAAGTCCTCCTGAGCCTTTCAGAGTATGAAAGAGATTTTCATCTCTGTAATGCATTTCATTTTCAGTTACTAGGAAGCAAAACATTTTTGATGCCTAATGCTGTAAAGTTGATGGGTGATTGTTTAACTCCATCACAGAGAAAATACTCAAGCAGCAACTTTTTCTGCTGCCACCAGAAACATGAAGCTATAGGCCTTGCACTTGAAGCAGAGCACCGCATGCAGAGAAAGCACTGTGTATCCTGGGCCTTAGGGCAAGGGATGAAGAGCAGCTGTAGGAAAATCCCCCTATTTTGAAGCCCAAGAAGATGGTAACAGTGGTAGGCGTCCTCTGCTAGTATCAGGGATGTGAACACCTTACATGTTCAGAGTTGCTGACCTGTCCTCCCACTCCCAGGTGGAAATTAAAATCCCAGAGTAGGACTCCTCTGTGCCTGTGTAGTGTTTCCAAAGCACACAACCAAGTCAGCACACTAGGTGCCTCCCACGTCCCAAAAGATCCCAGGGAGTGCTCGCAGCATGACACCGCCTTTGGTTTTCCACTTGGCTTCTTGTGCATTCCAGCTTTCTCCTGTTCAGTGCCAAACTAAAGAATATGGCTCCTATTCCTTCAGCAGATCAGGAACGTCATGGACCCAGTTATCAGCAATGCCCTCTGAGGCCCATACAGTGTCAGTCTGATGGGCCACACTGATGCTCCTGAAACTGTCCAGTGACCTCTGATAGATCTGCACACTCTGAGGACAGATCTCCTTCACCTTTATCTCATGCCTGCATTACATCCCTCTGCACTAATCCAGAGGTGCAGTACCTGGGGCTGATAAAGAGCCTGGAAAAGGCCTCTTTAGACATGTCTGTGGAACCAGGTGCTAGTTTTGTATTTCCCACACAGGAGCCAAGTTCAGACAGGGACTAATGATTTTGGAGGAGTCCAGGAAAGATTATCCTCTATACACCCCTCTTTGAGGACAGGAGGGTAAAGCAGAAGTGTGGCAGTCAAGCACGAAGATGGGTGAAGGAAGCAGAGGTGACATTTTGACTGTACAAGTTTTTTGATCTTGTGAAGCATTTCATGGGGTATTTAGTATTTCTGTGCTGCTGAGAGGAGTTCCGTTTCTAAACTCCTATTCAAGGTACCTGGTACTTCCCTCTCTTCCCTGGCCATCCAACAGTTTTTAACAAACTTGAAAGTTCATCACCAAGGCTTTTTAGGGATGTGCAAGAAGAGGTCACAAAGAAGGGGTGACTGACAGAAAATGGGTTTTTCCCCACCTATCCTTGTTGGTGTAGGTACCTAGAAAGCCATGCCTGTAAACCATCCTGACTACAACTTCACTCCCTACAGGTTGCATGTGAGCAGCTCCACTCACCCAGATAATAGCTGGGATAAAGGGTGCAGCATAAGCAAGTGCTTAACGTAAACCCAGATCTTTCGGATTAGCATAGCGGCTTCACACCACACTGATGGCACAGCACAGCATGGTGCTTCTCACAGCCCACACAGGATGGGGTAGTCTTCCCTCTGTGCATGGTCAGGGAGCCCCAAGGGTACATCTATTCACCCCAACCTCATTTCCAAGTTGCTCCCCAGCCCGACTGAGCGCCACAAGCCAAACACACCCTGCAGCATCTTGGTCAGCAATGCCATCACTGCCATGCTTTTCCTCCCCTGCCACTAGCTGGCACCTTCCCCCGCCTCGGTGTCAAAGCCCCGCTCAGCGTAGGGCCCCACATGGGCCGACGGGGATACGAGCCCCGTGTGTCTGGGCCTGCCCCCTTCCCCGGCGGAGGACGGTGCCTGTCGGGGGCCAGAAAGGTCGGGCTTAGCCCGCGGCATCCCCCGGGCAGCCCAGCCCCTCCGAAGGAGGCCGGTACGAACGCGTGGCACCAGAGGAAGCGGCCGTAGAGGGGTTGAGAGCCCGAGGCCCGAGGGGAGGGGGCGGGAGCGGCGGCGCCTGCGTGCCCCCCGCAGCCGAGGGGGCCGCGCCGCGCGCTGGGGCGGGGTCTGCGGGCGCCGACGGGGCGGGCGCCACGTCGGCATCGGGGAAAGGCGCAGGAGTGAAATCTCTGGCGGAGCTGATCCGAACCGAGTCTGCTGCGCGGTGAGTGGGAGCTGAGCGGCCGCCACCGCCGCCCTGGTCCCGCCGTTAGCCGGGTAGCTGCCACAGCCTTCTTCCTGCCTCCGCTTTGCTCCTCGGCGCGGAGGAAGGGAAACTACTGAGGCAGGAGACGGGAGCGGACTCGGCGGAGCCGCCGGAGGGACAGGCGGGCCTGGTGGAGCGGGGCCGCCGCCGCCACCTGCCCTCGGCGCTTTCCGGATCGCAGGCAGCCCGCCTTTGTGCTCCCTGCCGCAGTACCGGCGGGCGGGAAGGACGGAGAGAAGGCCGGGCCGGCTGCAGCGGCTCCGGCCGCGGCCTTGGCTGCCACGTCAGTGCCGCCGCCCTGCGCTGAGGTGCCCGGCGGTGCCCGTGGTTGTGATCCGCTGCCCGCCGCCCCCCGAGCTCTCTCGGGGAGCCAGATAGCTGCGAGGGGGAGGAGGTGGCGGGGGTTTGGGCCGCGCTGCGAGCGGGTGTGGGGCCTCGACGGAACAGGGCGGGCGTCTCCTCTCGTGTGGGACCGGGACCTGGACCAGTCTCGGGGGCGGCTGCCGCGTCCTGACCTTGGCAGAGCTCCTACCTGGGTGGGCATCTGGGGGAGCCAGGCTCGCCTTGGCCTCCTCCCTGGCTGGTCTTGTGCTCCCCTGTCAACTTCTCTGGCAGGAGAAGCTTTGCTTCGAGTGGTCTTTGTAACCTTCGCTGTATACAGATGTTCCCTGTAGTAACCTGCTGTTCCTTCCATCCGGTTCTATCAAGGCCAGCTTGATGGAGTAGGATGTGGAAAAGTTTTTTGGTAAGCTGTTTGGGAGCAGCTTATCTTTCGGCATTCACCTAGCCTAGGTGTTTATGTGGTGTGTCCTGAAAACTAATGCAAGTTACTTTAGCATAGAGCAGGTTCTAGTCATTGTGTGAAGCTCATAGGCAGCCTCTGCGGATGTGATTAAATGCTTCCTCCGCCTCATGTAACCATGCTGAAAACGAGAGCTCTGAATCAGGATATCACTCCGTGAGGAAGACGAATATCAAGCGCATGTAGCCTGCCTCAGTATTCAGGCAGTATGTAACTGGAAGGATGCATGAGAGATAGCTTAATTTAGTTCGCAAATAACTGCTTTGTATGCACATCAGTTATAAGCCTGCTGAGTAAATGCTACCCAGACTTTTTTTCTCTCAAAGCTTTCTGTTAAGCTGTGGTTAAACATTCAGTGAAGTTGGTGTTGGCTCCTCAATACAAAAGGTGGTCCTTGTCTGGCAAGTCAACAGGTCTAAATATCAGGAGCCATCGAGGGGGATGCATGGGAGAGAGTTCATTAGCAAGGGGTGGCAAGGAAGTTCAGTGACTGCTCTAGGTGCTGTAAGGTTTTGTCTTTGTAGGCCTCATGGAGGAGGAATGCTGAGGCAAAGTGGACCTCAAGGCATTGGTGAAGCATTACAAGAAATGGAGAAGGCTCTGCCTTAGAAAGCTGAGCTAGCAGGAGGCACAGGATGACAGGACTGGTAAAATGGAGCTTCCATGGCCTTTCTGAAGCTGTACCCTGTGCCTTACTGGAATTTACTATCTAATTTCTAGAAACCAGGTTTGGAGGATTAGAAAAGGGGAATTAGAGTTTTTGCGTTTTCCTGTGAATCCTTGCTTTGGAGAAAACTTCATTGCCAACATCAGGTGTTCCCTGGAGCCCGATCTATATTTTAATTGGAGAAATGCACTGGATTCTCATATAGGTAGATATGATGCTGTAATGTCCTGTGCAAAGTTAAGGGTTAGGCTGATTTTTGTTTTGCATGAGATATGCTTCCTTTTTTTGCCTTCAATTGTGTGTGCAGGGTGTATTTGTTTTTTAATACACCGCATGCACACAATTAATGTTGCATTACCTTCCCAGCTGTGTGCTGAGCCCTGCATACTGTGAGCCTGTTGTTTAAATCTTTTGTGGTAGGCTTGGCATGTTTTCTGGGGGCCTGTAGCCCATCCTGCTATAGCTTTAAAAGTAATCAGTGTTCACACCTGGAAACTTCTGATCAACTTCTTGCATTCTTTCCCTGAATACCTTGTCTCTTTTTCCCCCTCTGGAATGGGTATGATCGCTTCCAAGCCAGTCTCACTTTGTATATAAATCTGATTTTTGAAGCTTGGCTTTTAAACAGAAGGCTTGTTGAAATGTCAGCTATGCTCTTGGTTTTTAGCTACATGCTTCCTGCGTGCCTGGATTTGCTTTTTCACTTTAGTGCTGTTAGCACTGACTCTTTCTACTTGTAGAAGCTCAGTCAACTGTCTCCTTTGCATTAACTAACTGAAAAGCACGTTTCCATGTCGGCTGTGCTCTGAGGGTTATGTCTGAGAGAATTAATAGCACTGAGCACTCCCACCCATGAATGTTACAAGCCCTAGTCCAAGGTGTAAAGCAGGGAAACTAATAGTCAGGAGTCACTTGTGCAGCTTGAAAGGGTACCCTGAAGAGCAGCCATGGGTGAGATTACCTTTTTGGCTCCATGCTTGTTTCTTTGTTTAATTTGGAGAGCAGAGCACTGCTACTCTTTCCAAAAGGAATTCCTTAAAGTATCACCCCTAAAAGAATTATTTTCATGTATGTGAAAGGCATGAGGTTCATTCTGAAATCTGCAGCTGCTGGAAGAAGGGAAGGAGAGTCATGCATGTGGCAAGGACTGTTTTGTCTTCCATCAGCTCCGTAGCCAAGCTTTCTAGCTTCATAGCTGGTGAGCAGAAGGAAGATAATTTTTTTAAGGTGGACTGAGAGGAGGGAATTGGTTTGTTTGCAGTTCTGTCAGGTGAATAGTTCCAGCACCGTCTGCTGCTGCAGCAGCCTTCTGGAGCGGCGTTATGTTGCCAACTGAAGTTGGCCGTATCCTTGGGTAGGTTCATTGCTACCCACAAATGTCTGAGTAGTGGCATTGAAATGAGCCAGCTTTTACTGGCTGCTGCTTGGGCCAGGTTTGCTGTGCTGAAACAGTGGGGCTTTTTGTTTGTGAAGTCAGAAAGGCATCAAGAGCATCATCTGAAGCTCAGGAAGTTGCACACACATCTGTAATAGCTAGAGCTCACTTCTCAGTGGAAGGCTAAAAGTTTACACAGGTTGCTGTGTAAGAGCTGCAGACTCATTAAGGAGAGGCTGTGCTTTAACATTAATTATGACACTGTAGTAATCCTCATGACACCATGTAGAGCAAGTAAACACAAAAGGAATCAGTGTTTTGGTCAGTGAGATAAATCTCTTAAAATTCTGGTGTCTTAAGGCCATGCCAGGTGTGCTTCTCCCTAAGTGTGCGGCTCCATGTATGATTCCCACCATACGCCCATGGCAGGTATGTGGCAGTAGATGACCGTAAGATGTCATTAACCTTCTGCTTTTCTCATAGGTGTATGCAGAATACTTGTGTGGAAACACCTAACTAGAAATCTTCACGAAGGAATATATTTGGTGAGAAAACTTTACTTTAATCAGCTTTGATGTGAATGTACATGTGGCTGAAGTGTTACTACCTCCAGAGCTTTCTTGGGCTTTCGTTCAGGGTCCTGAAACGACATTCATGTTATAAATAGCTCTCAAAAATCCTCTTCCAAACCAGTTCTTTCTTTACGATTGTGTAAAAGTTGGAAGCTTCCTGTATATTTCACATTCTGACAGTATGAAAGTGTGTTTTCTTCTTTAAAACTAATCGAGTGACTTCCTTTATTTTTTAAGTTATTAGTATTCTTTTAGTGTGATGATCGATACATATGTTAATGCATTGTTAAAGATGAGAAGTTATCCCTTAACTCTTGAAGGACTAGCACCCTCCTAAGCGCAGAGAGGGGGAAAAAGCAAAAAGTAGTTTACATGTGTCCCTATTTGAAATGTCTTGTAAGATCTGGGTTTGCTTCCAGTTCTTAACATAAGAAAACAACACATCTGCACAGATGAAGAAGGAAACTGGAGAGTGCCACTGGTATGCTAAATGTCTGCTTCATGAATGTCTGAGTTCTGCCAGGACTCTTGGAGATCTTGCCTCATTCCATGGGATCATTAAATGGAGGTGTTAAATGAACCCAGTGACAGAAGACACTGTGAATTTGGCATCACTGGATGAAAATGCTAAAGTTTATTTTGCATTAAGGGTTCAGGCTTCTGACAAATCTTTGCCTTGTTGCATGTGTTTGCATTGCTGGTAACAATTGTGAGTAGTTCAGTGCCGGGGAACATTGAATCTGCAGCTTCCAACTTAAGTTTCCAAAGTTGCTAATCAGTACTGTGTCTGAATTACTCCAGATTCTCTGCACAATTATCTTTGCACCTCCACATTGCTGCCTTAGATGTCAGCTGAGTTGTAATCTCTGTTGGGTCTCATAAATTTTGCTTTCTTCTTCTTCGTGGGGACAGGCAGTAGGCAGTGTGAAGAGAAACCTGCCTTAGGATACACTGCAATCTGGTGACCAGGGGACTCTCTTGCAAAGTGGAACATAAGAGCTTGAATCGTAACAGACAAAGGAGGCATCAAATCATAGGTGAGTGCTTTCACCTTAATGGTATTATGTAGGGAAGGGTTTCTGTTTTTCTAACTCCAGTTTTTGAAATAAAAAGATACGTTCCTGCCCTCTTCATCTGAAGACTGGATGAAGTCATCTGCCACCAAGCAGTTATTCCAGGCCTTTGACCTCCAGTCAGCAGAAATACTCACCTTAAATATCTGGAGGGGAGCCAGGTTTAAAACATGCTCCTGTAGTATTTCCTGTCCACCAGATATGCTACACCTTGTCTAGCACACAGGATTTTGGATCCCTTTTCAGAGGCTCTTAAGTCTCCTGAGGTGTTAAATTAGATACAGGGATTCATGACGCAGGCTGTAACCTAGATACCTGAAAATTTTCTGCTGAAGTGCCTTTTTTTGGAAGCTCAAAGAAGCAGTTTCATCTGAGTTTCTTTTGGGAGCTACCTGCTGGCTAGATACAAATGTATTAGTGGACGTAGTTCTTTGTAACAAATACTTTATCTGTGCCTTAACTCATTTGTGTCTCCCATGAGTCTGCTTAAGAACCATTTTGGTTGCTTGCTTATTTCTTTGTTTGAAGTAAGGCTTGCTAGGCTGTGATTTTTGTTTTACTTTTTTTAGGATCTTCCCATATGCAGCAAATAAACTCCTTCCAAATTCCTGATCAAGTAGCTCACATGTTAAGTAGAAGCGTAGTTCCTTCATATTTGTACAGATGTTTTGATCAATAATGTCAGGCCTGTCAGTTTCTTACAGCATCTGCCTTCTCTTTCTTACAGTGCCTGATATTTTTGTTTCAAGTTGGAAAAAAAGCAACAACCTACATGTACCTTCACATAGTGAGGATGAAATCCTTGTATTTCTTCCAGCTTGCATTATGCAAAGGTGAATGCAAAGAGGTCACGTAGGACCTGAATAGGGTCCTTTCCCAGAGCCTGACTGCCCTCCATTGCTCCCTGGGATCAGTTGGGCCTTTTTTCTTTTCTTTTGACTTACTGATTTGTGATGAAATAAAAGAACAAGGAATTCTGTAACTGATACTTTTTCAAATTGCCTCTTAGCTCTCATGCATTTAGTTTTCCATGTTGATGGGTTGCCACTCACTTTGCTGTTTCTTAGCTTCCATATTTGCATTTGTGGCTTTTGAGAGGTACTTGTTCAGCATTGCCATCAAATCAGTCATCCTGCAGTAGGGTGGTTGCTTGCTTTCCTGTTCAGCTTCTTGTGTAAAGGTACCTGCATTTTCTGAGTCGTGAACTGATACCCTCAGTGCTGATTGTGAGGACTCAGTTTAGGCTTGCTTCTCATCCAAAGATCTATCATTTAGCATGTGGGTGCCATTTTCTACTGTGATGCTTTGATTTCATAATTGTACTATGAGGGTTTTAGGTGCTGTTTTCCAGGTGAGGCTTCCCACCCTCGTTCTGCTTCTGCCTCCTCATCCCTTCTTCAGATCCCAGCTACTGCTTTCTCATCCAGAAAATATGGAGAGATCTGGGCACAGAAAGAGAAGCTGGAATTATTTTTGAGGTGATCAGTGACTTCTGGAAGAAACTGAATGATTTAAAGGCTTGTTCAGGGATAAGAGAACCAAGAGGTCACTGGCAGGAAGATAGAAGGGTGCCGAGTGGTATAATTCAACTTGGTTTTCTTTCTTCTTTTCCTGACCTCCGTGTCTGCTGAGGAGGGAAAGCAGGATTTGCAGGAGGGCTCAGGGGAGGAGGCAGGATGTAACACCAAGGCATGCTTTGGTAGGGGAGGAAAGCAGGAGGGAAGCCTGGACTAGATACTGCTTTCTTCCCCTCCACAGAGAAAAATGCAGTAAGCTGAGCTGCTGACTTGAGCTTTCTCCTGTGATCCCCCTCAGTGTCAGGGACTGCTGTTCTAGAACTGCTCTAAGGAAACAGCAGGTTTTCTTTTGTGTAAAGAAATACTGTTTCTGAAATGTTTTCATTGGGAAGTTTGTGTAGAGTTAAAATGGTCTAGTTCTGCTGCTGTCTCCACACCGTGTATGCAGTACTGCTACAACATAAATGGAGTGGTTTTGTTACAATTCTTATATTTTGTTTTCATGGCACTTACTCAAGTTCAGCTGCAAGGACTTGTTTCTTTACTGCTTTCCAGGTACTAACAGATCTTACATGCATACTGCTGTTTTTCTAGTGCCACCACCTCTATGATCACTAGGCTTTTCTTTTTTTAGTACTTAATTGGAGCTAGTTTATAGCAGCCTCTATTTTGGTTTCATACTGGTTTTCTACCTGCTTTTTAGGTTTGAGATGTACTTGGTGGGGTGGCAGCTCTTGCCAAGCCTGCTAACCTGCTGGAGGGCTCCTTTCTTCAAGTACTGAGTCTGGTTGAAGAATGCAAAAGCACAATCTGATAACAAAGAGCAGCAGTTTGGCAGGAGCTGCTGTAGCTTATCTAGGAGTTGTTCCTTTGCTGTGGAACTTAAACTGCGTGAATTTTGGGTACACAGATTACATTTATGCTTTGCCAGAAAAGATGTATAGCGTATGTGAATTTCTTTTTTAGGCAATAATGAATCAAACAGACAAAAACCAACAGGAAGTCCCATCATACCTTCATGATGAACCACCAGAAGGTATGTATTAGTTTTCATAATCTGATTTCTGTAAATTCACAGAAAATCATCTGTTTTCTCTTTTAAAAACAGATCTGCAAGCTGAATGCCTTAACTTTCAGTTAAGTAAAGTAAGCAAGCCAGCCCTGGGATGGGATGGGCCTAGGTTATTGTTCATTTCACATCCGCATTATCCTGATGGCAGTAAGACCACTGAATCTAACTTAGTAAACAACTGTACTGATAAATTACAGAGAAGATGGGCTGATCCTGAAGGACATAATTTGCAGATTAGTTTCCAGAGATGTGAATTGGTCTGCTTTCATTATGTGAGGTGAAAAGTGCCTGGTTTTGCTTTTGGACACCTTGCTGAGTTCATAGTTCCTTTTAAACAAGATGTGCTTAAAAATATACAGAACTTCATAACTACTTTTGAGACTCTTTTCCGTCATACAATTAACTATGGTTCTAACTATTGAAATAATCTCATGGTTTCAAAAAAACAAACCCACTCACTCTTGACTTCACTGGATGGGTGACGTCTTTGTCTCCTGAACGAAATGAGTCTCAAATTGGATATTATATCTGCAGAGGAAATGCAGCTGTTAATGAGAAGAATTGCTTTCCAGGCTGTGGACCAGCAGGACTATGAAGAGCTCTGCTTGCATAATGTGTCTGGAAGTATACTAGATCAAAAGCCATTCTTGGCACACAGGTTGTCTCTGTTCTGTCTTCTCTTGCTTTAAGACCAAATGTGTTGGATGTGGAGGTCTGTGAATCCCGTTTCCTTCTCAGCTCTTCAATATGTAATGGCCCTTTAAAGCTCTGTTTGTTGGTTTGAGGTTTTATTTTCCTCAGCTTTTATACATTGTATTACTGAAAATTTGCTTCAGTTAGTGCATAATAATTGTTCAAGTGTAGCAGAAGGGGTTGAAGCAAAGTAGCTCACTCTATTTGTAACTATTAGGCAGGAAACGCAAGTACAAGAAGATGACAGGAAAAGTGGCACAGTGGTTCTTAAGCTCTCCCATCCTTGAACTTGTTACAGTATCATGGTGTGAGGACAAAAGTCTTTCCTGCTTAAGCTCTTACAGGGTTGTCAAGATCCCAGAATCACTTCTGAAAGTAAATGCCATATTGGAAGACTATGCCCTAATGTGTGTTATCTTCAAGTCTGGCTTTTAAGGCACCTTTTTTATTTTCTTTTTGCTTTAAAGGTTGAATTGTAGTTTATACGTGTTAAACCTCACGTATAGAAAGCGAACAGTGGTCTGACTGGTAAACTACAACTTATTCTTGGGGAAGGCAGTGAAATAAGTGGGCATTTTTTATCTTCCTAGAATATTCAGGTGGTTCAGAGCATGAGAGCAAAGTCTGAACATCACTAGATAACGCAAGATTTTGTTTAAAATTTGTGAGCAATTAAGACTGATTTTCTTCTGCACAGTATCTTTCAGTATGTCAAGAACCGGTTTGAATATGAAGACTAAATAGATGAAGTTGGTGTAGTTAAAGGGAGCAGAATGAAACACAACTCATCTTAATAGAAACTCCATCTTTGAGAAGGCTTTTTCCTTTTGATTCTGTTTCATATGCACTCTTGAAGCTTTATGAATGTAGTTAAAATGTTGGAATACCCTTGAAGATCCCTATTTTAAATATACAAGGCCTTTATATGCGATATGCTTACGCTGTCATATGAAGATGGCCAAACATGCATGGGAGGCATTCGTATTTGCAAGAAGATGGGCTCTTGGAACAGGCTGCCAAAAAAATCCTCAGAGGAAAGGCTCAATTTCAAAACCAATTTGCAATTTTTCATAAAGATATAATAGTTCCAGTTTGTCCAAATCCCACTCGAAGCTTGGTGTCCAAAAGCTTTAAAGCCATGGATAAGTAGAAGCAACTTTTGGGCTCATGCTTTCTATGAGCAGTCCTATTCTAATGCTTTATATTTGCAACCTAAATTCATGCAAACTCTTTTGCAGGAAGCTGGCTGTGAGGCAGCATGATCCAACCCCTGAACAAGGAACAGGTGTTGTTTTCTTCCTAAATTTAGGAATGATCTGGTTTACCTTCTTTTTCATACTGGTTAGAAACAAGGAGAGCAGGAGTGCATATCCTAGAATGGAAATCAACCAGCAGTGAAAACTTTGCAGCTGCAGGGTGTTTATTAGACCTCATGGACAGTGCAAACAGGAATGAAATGGGAATGTGTCAGCCACGGCCAGGAAGTTATTAATACACGAAGTCACAGTCAGTATTGACGCTTGTGAAATAGGGTAGATGTTGTCCACCTGAAGTAATATGAGAAGAAGCATTTCAGGATTACTTTTGTTTCTTTGTTGTTATTTTTCAAATTAGCTCTGGTGGTCCTTTCTTGCTAATATCACCTCTGACTCACTGAAATCCGCTGTTAAAATTCAGTGTGATAAAGCTTTATTCACCCTGATGATAATGATCCAGTTAGGTGGAAGTACAGCGCTTTCTGCCTAAGTTTTTTACAAGGTGTGGAAGTCTGGTCACAAGAATCTTCAAATGAGTAATACCTGGACAGTGGATTTTATACCAGGCTCCATATACTCCTCTGAGTGTTATTCCTTGAAGACTGTCTTTATGTAAATAGAAATTCTGATGCGTTTGAGTTGGCAACGTGTTTTTGCCGGAGATGTTCGGGTTGAAAGCTGCTGGCCTAGAGTGAACCAGACAAGGGTATTACTTAGCTTTAGGTAAAAGATTGTCATTTATATTTGTAGCTTCCATGACCCTTTCTGTTATGTATATCAGTTTCTTTAATAAGAGACACTAATGTAAGCTGGAAGCATTTTTAGTACTTTCTGCTCCCTTGAGCTGCACTGCCCCTCTGGATACTTTTGCTTAAACTTACAAGAATTTCTCTCTTTGGCATCTTCTGTTTGAATTACTCAGGGCACTCATACAGGAGCCACACTTTTAATAAATTCCAAGTCCTGGATCAGTCCTGGCATCAAAAACTTGCTGGAGGTGCCTGAAAAGTTGTTTACTCTTGTAGGGAGAAAGTTGCTCATCTTGTAGTAGATGAGTGCTGGGAGGCGACTCTTGGAAATTGTTTTCCAAATGCAAGTTGTTGGCAGTCAGGGTACTGGAGACTGAGACCTGTTGCACTGGTTTTCTTAAGGCACATCACAGTGCGGAGTGAATGCGGTGACAGAGGTGGGATAGAGGTCTCTGGTGGATCTAGATCTTGATTTATTTTTTTTTTCCCATGCCCCTGTAGACTTACCCTCTTCCAAGCATGTTCTTTCTGCTGCTGACTCCCTCGCCTCTCTCTTTCAAGTTTGTTTCTTCCCTACCAAACCCAGGGTAGTTCCACTTGCTCTTTTCTTGGTTCTCCCTGTTGTTTTTCCATGAGAAAGGGAAATATGTTAAATCCCATGTGTTATCTACAGGTAGCTAGAAAATACAAAATACTGTGGAACTCTTTCCCTGCAGTTATTAACTGTCTGTCTCTTGCCATGGTTCACTCTGAAACTTTTTTAAAAGAAGGGTTTGGGGTTGGTGAGGAATTGGCAAGACAGAAGCTGAAAAATACTGACCTGTCCAACACTGTTGTGGAGACCAGAGATTTCTCAAGGCTCACACTGAAAACACCTTGCAGAGAAATGTGGCAGGGTGACTAGTTTCTAGGTGCAGTAGATGGTATTTTCTTGTGTGCTTAAATACATTAACATACCGTTTCATCTTCCTATTTTGTCTTTGACAAGTAGATGATGCTTATGCAGTAGCGCGGTGTGGGGTTGCAATCTTAATTCCCTTTAGAGGCAAGGTACAAATGTCTCTTTAGCATTTCAAAGCCTACATTTAGAAACATGAAGTAATTACCCAACTATTAGGCTAAATGCCTAATTCTGGGAGTCTTTCTTATTACTCTAATACTTTATATTATTTTGAGGCTTTGTAATTGTACCATAAGATATAGAATAGAAATTTATTTATACAACAAGAGACTGTGCAAAATGCAGGTTAAACATAACATTAAAAAGAACATATTTATGTGGTCAACAGCATGCAGAAATCCTATGGTTTGTGATTTGGTTTTGTGCATCATATTGGGACTTCTGTTGGGAGCCTTTAACTCCTCATAATGATAATGCCTTTGGGGACCACTTTTGGTGTTTTGTAGAATCACAGAATGGTTTGGGTTGGAAAGGATCTTGAAGCTCACCCAGTTCCAACGCCCCTGCCATAGGCAGGGACACCTTCCACTAGACCAGATTGCTCAAAGCCCTGTCCACCCTGGCCTTGAACATTGCCAAGGATGGGGCAGATACATTACTATGTATTATTTATTATTACATCATTTTTATTACTATACATTATTATGTATTTATTATTGGAAAATAAACTCTGTTACATTTCCATAATTTCATTTAATGAGCTTATTTGGCCATTGGACTCCTCCCTCCCTGCTCCAAATGACAGAAGAGGGCTTGCTGGAAGAAAATTAAATGTTTTAATCCTAGCTCTGTGATTGATTTCATTGTTGCTTCCTCCCTCAGGTTCAGTAAAAGACCACCCGCAGCAGCAGCCTGGCATGCTTTCTCGTGTGACTGGTGGCCTCTTCAGTGTCACAAAGGGAGCTGTTGGTGCCACGATCGGGGGTGTTGCTTGGATTGGAGGGAAGAGCTTGGAAATTACCAAAACAGCAGTTACATCTGTGCCTTCAGTGGGAGTGGGGCTAGTCAAAGGAAGTGTTTCTGCTGTAGCTGGAGGTGTTACAGCTGTAGGATCTGCTGTTGCAAGTAAAGTGCCTTTAACGGGAAAGAAAAAGGATAAGTCTGACTAAATCCAAAACTGAGACATATTTGATTATCCAGAATATTACAACAGTGGCATTAAAATCTGCTCAGATTTGGACCATGAGAAGCCATGTGTCTTAGACACTTTATCTTCTAAAGAGTTGTGCAAGTAACTCCATTCCATCTGAAAAGGACGGAAGAAGCTTGGCTAGCACGGCGTATGAAGATTCATTAGAGCCTAGATTGAAGCTTTGTATCTGGTGAAATGTTACACTTGATAACTGTAGAAGTAAGTGTATCTGAAGGGATAATACATATTTGAATATTCATTTACTGTAAGTCTTTTGCAGTTTTGGACTAAATGTGAACACAAACTTGGTAGTCTCTGCTGTACCATCAATATGATGAGATACCATTCACTGTTCTCAGTGGTTTCCACATCCTCCTGCTAAGGATCCTTCAGCTGTGTAATGGCATTGTTGGATGTGCCTGAATAGTTTGGGTTATGAAACTGTATTTGCAGGCAGCCTGTAAACTCCCAGTGACTGTTCTGCCCATGCATGCTGGAGCAAATAGAACTGGTGTGGTGCAGAAACTGGAAGTCAGAGTGGAGATAGAAGTGAGAAGGTTTGACAGCATGGTAGAAGGGATCATAAAGAGTAAACTAACAATGCCTTATTAGAGAAAAATATCTTTTTTTACTAGGTGAAGCTGTCTGAAGAACTGTCCAGTCGTTTCAGTGCAGTTTACAGTATGAGTTTTAGACTCTCTTTATGAATCCTGGTAACTGAAAACTTTTCCATTTTTACTGAAACAAGATTGCTCCATCTCAGGTGTATTTGCTGGCAAGTAAAAACTTGCTTCTAATAAACTTCTAAACACTAGAAAAAATGATGGTTTAATGGAAACTGGGCTGATGTTTGTGGTCATCTGGCACAACTGTCTGACTTGAAATGCCTTTGTGTAGTTGGAAACCACTGAAGAACTGGCAAAGCTGTTGTCTCAACTCCATGATGCACCAGGTTAAGTTTTTTGCTCTGTTAAAGCAAATGCAAGGATTTTTTCACTACATCTTTCTCTCATACTTTGCATTTTGATGTTTGAGTCAAATGTAATACTCAAAAGAAACCAAAAAAAAGTAGATGGGGCCTTAAAAGAAAATAAAGAGAAACATCATCCAAGTAACTTGTATACTGACAGATTCCAAATGCTGACACACCTCCAGTGGGAACATCTGTAGATCCTCTGCAGTGTGAGGGGAAAATGCACTTGTAACAACACAGCTTGAGGTTGCCTTAAAACAGACGCTGTTGGTGATCTTTTTGTGTACTGACTTTGCATGTAAGTAACCTCTTCAGAAGCCCACAGAAGGTGGCTACGAATGTTGTGTATGCAGTGTTTTCTACAAACTTGTGTTCCTGCACAGAACTTCTAAGCACATAAGCTTCCTTTTTCAGTGGCTGTGGTTGTACAAGAAGGCTATATAGGGAGACTTTTTAGATATGAAAAAATAATCAAAACATATCACCTAAAGCTTAGTCCTTTTTTCACAGATGTTGAAAGTGTACTGTGTGTAAGTTATGGTACAGTAGTCACCTAGCCTTTCTGAGCCATTGGTACTTCAACTACACTCCAGAGCAACTTTATCTGGTATCAGTAATTGTATATGTTGGTAGTACAATATTTGTAAGCATGGGGATTTGGGGTGGTGGGGAAAGCTTTATTGCCTCCTTTTGTTAGATGCACTAGCTGCTCAGCTCCAACCTGCTGCAAGGGTGTGGTAAGTTTATGCAACAAATGGAAGACATTAACTATTTTTAATAGTCGAAGCTAATCACACAGAATACAGTGCAGTTCAAGGATGCCTATTAACTCTAGAAATGAGCTAGCTTGGGTATCAGAGGCAATGTGGCTGCAGTAAATAACATGTGGTCTGCTGCTGTGCAGTTCCCAGCGTAGACATATCCCCAGAATGCTACCGCTGAACACTTGGAGTAACCCTTGTTTGGAGCAGTTGTGTTTGTGACACTCAACCAAACCCTTCCTAATAGTTTGCTGAAAACAAATGAACTCCTCATACCCCTTTTTTATGACATTCTCTAATTTTTATACTATGAAACTTACTGCAAAACAAGTATGGTCTGAGATAATGTGAGATCTGTAACAAGCTGCCGACACACTTCATGATGTTTTGTTCTTGTAGTTATTACCTCTGAATCTTGTAACTGAAACACTTCAACATTGCATATGGTTTTAGTTTTCAAAAAAAGCTTTGTCCTGTATCTTGCATATTTTCCATTCACTTCTGAAACTTGTTTTGTCTTAAAAACTTGTTCTGATTCTTTCCTGACACTTGTGAAACATTAAATTGTTGCTGTTTCAGACACCTGAAAGCTTCCTTAGTTTATGTGTGGAGAAGGGCATACTTAGGTATAAATCTTCCACAGTATCATGGCCCAGTGTGTCTTTCAGCCATATCTAAATAGTGCCAACCAGCTGTTAACAAAAACGGTAACTTCACTGTGTAGGCTGTGCATAGACACAACACAAAATCCCTTTTTTTTCCCCTGGGCACTGAGGCATGAGGATACCCATGTTTAAGACTGTTATGAGTTGAATGGAACATGGAACTGGTATTTTCACATGTGAAAGTGAGCTGGTTATGTCTTGGGGTTGTTTTTGTGGTGGTTTTATTTTATCCTCCATTTCAAAAGGGGACATGTTCATGAAGACTACTTGTATACCTGACTGCTCACCGTGTAATGAAAGGCTGGGCTTTTCTGTGCCAGGCTTAAACAGTTCAGACTGTTTCACTTCACTGTGCATAACAGCAAGAGATGAGGAAGCAGATTTCAGCAATACAATGTTTTGGTAACTGGGAGCTTCCCTGAGTTTTTATTATAAATGAATCCTGGGAAGAAGACAGAAACAGGTGCCAGGCAAAGTGTTATGAAGGCCTGAATGAATTTCAGTCTGTGGGTAGAGAGGAGTCTTTCTGCTTATGCTTTTGTTTTGAAAGGGGAGGAGGCAAAATTGAAACACTGGGAATGGAATGAGTTTGTGGTAACTCAGGCTATGACTTAATGATGGAAGTATGTCCTTCCTGTTTTATCTGTTGCCACTGGAAATAAAATACTTTAAATGATGGGAATAAGCTGTTTCAGAAACTTTAAAAACAGATACCTGCAGAAATGCTGAAACTAAATTTTCAGGGAAAACACTCTTCTACATCTTGGTTTTCTTTTCATCCTAATGCACCGACCGATTCTGCAGCTGAGCATTAGATTGTGTTACGAGTAGCTTCAGAGAGCTGAAATGCCCCCTTGTGTTTGAGGGGAAGGATGTTTTTGAATTCAAGTAATACTGTGGTCTGCTTAGCAGCTGAGCACTGAAGGACAGTCAGCAACAGAGGCAGGTTCCTGTGGATTTTTAATATGGTTATCTACCCAGTTAATTCTTAAAACCCAATAATGTGGTTTGAAGAGTCAGCAAAGATGTGGCTTAGTAACACAGCCTTTCATTGTGCTGGTGATACAAGCCCTTTCTTGAACTCTTGCTGCTATCATATGTGCTACAAGGGCAGTGTTTACCCCCAGAACTGCTGTCACGTCTGCACTTGCCTGCATGGTGGTGAATTTAAGACCTTCAGCTGTTGCAATCTTGGCACTGCTCTAACCAGATGTTTCTAGCCCTTTACCAAGCGCCTGGCAGATAATATGGCAGGCTATATAAAATAGTCACCTTGCAGCCCACCCTCTAAACAAGTAATTTAATACCAGCTTTCCTCAGCAATCTAAAACTTCTCTTTAAGAAATGGAACCCTGGACTTGCTGCCAAAATGTCTGTTAAAAATGTCTTTGAAGAATGGCCTGGAGTGAGGGGGGATGTGTAAATGTTTTTTCTCCTGCTGGCACAAGGGAATGGGTATGGCATAGTCACTTAGGAAAGTCTTTCTGAGAAATAAGATCACTGATGATCCTAATTCTATTGAGATGATCGTCACTGATGATACTATTTTATTTTACCATCCACAGCCTGTAAATGAAAATAAATAGAATCTCTGGAGAACTTAACCTCTGTCAGATAGTTACTATTTTGAAAGGCAGCACTTGTCAACAATTACCCTAGGGTGTTATCTGAGAAGCAGTGCCACCCATATATTTAGAAACTATGGCAGCTGTTTGCAAATCTGGTAGTCATTTTTATAACACCAGTGGTTTACAGACTAGAGTTTTGTTACACCTGATGAAAAGCATGACTTCTTCCTTTGTCCTACAATCATCTCAGACTCACTTGGATCCCTCGCTTTTCTCTCCCAGAGCCTTGCTAGAAAAGGAGAAATTAAGAACTAGATAATAGCAATAAATGTATTTCCTCCTGCCCCAAACCTTTTGCAAAAGGAGTAAATTTTGCAATCTCAGAAATGTAAAGGAGGTTGTCTTGTAGTTTCTTTACTGCAGCAAGACACAACTGAACTCCAAGAGAGTTTCCAAGCATCAGTGAACCACTGGGTTGATGAACACTGCTGGAAAAATAATCCTCCATTTCTCTTTCTCAGATAAAGATTGTGCTAATCACTGCCACAAGCTGGACTGTGCAGTAACAGAGTTTAAATCCAAACCAGTTAATGCCCTGTTAGAGAAGGAAATGTAACAGAACAAAAAAAGCCCCAAACATGTGAGGTACTCCCTGTGCTAAAAAAAAAAAAGCAACCTTTATCATAACCAGGTTCTGTGATATTATCTGAAAGCATTAGAAAGCTACAATTTTATAATGAAGTTGTGCCTATGACTTGCTCCAGGACAAAGTACAGTGTAGGACTACAGTCTGGTTAAGATTAATTTTGTTTCAGCTCTTCTCAAAGAACCATCATCTTTTCCTCTTTGACAATTTTCATAATATTTGCATAATTCAAAGTACAGTATTCAAATTACTCTTCAACGTGTATAGGAGCAACAGGATTAAAAATAGGTCTCTCCTTCTTCGATTGTATCTTACCATAATTGACTTCAAAATCTTTCTTAGTACCATTCAAGCTTTCTAGAGTTCCACTCTTGATATCATATCCCAAAGCAGAGAGTTTTTTAATTCGGTACTGGACAATTTGCGTTGTCAACTCCAGCACCATTGGTGTCTCTTTAATCTGTGCTACAGAAATTCCTTCCTTCAGAAGTCCTTCAAGTCTTTCTTCCAAGACTGGAACAGAATAGTAGAGAAGGGCTGGGCACTTCAGCACGAGATCTTTTAATTCTTGATCGCTGCACTTAAAGACTCTTTTGGAAAAAATCATACTCTCCTGCATAGTAGAAGCAGTGAGTTGAAAAATGAAACCTTTAAGTTTGGACAGCAGCTGCAGAACTTCATGGTCAGTGAAATCATTCTTCTGGAGAAATTCCAAGTTCTCCCGGATTGCAGTGGAGTTATTCAATAAAATAAATGGATTCTGGCTCAATAGCTTCAGTATCCAGATCTTCATATTTGCATCAGAACCTCCTAAACTTAAATAATTTCTTTGTAATGTCTCTATAATGTCTTTGTTTTTCTCCACAGGATTATAGAAAATATTAGGTGCGCTTGTCAAGAACCTGGTGATTATGTTATTCTTAAGTCCCAACTCTTGAAAAAACAGTATATTTGCCTTCTGGTTCTCGTGATACTCAGTAGTAAAAAAAGACTCTGGAAACTGCTCTATTAATTTAATTAATTGTTTTTCATTCTGGCATACTAATTGCCATAGAGCTCTTTGAGAGTTTATCTCTGCAGGGGTATGGAGAACTGCCTCTGGACAGCGTTCTAAAATGTTGGCTACAGCGGCCTTGTCTGCTCCCATTTCCTGTAAAATACCGGCGATTTCTTGAACGTAGGCCACATCCTGGAGAAGGACCCATTCCTTTAGTCTGCGTATTTTCTTAACATCAATGGACAATCTGTAGAGACTCTCAATGGTTTTTTTATTCTCCTCTCTGGATTTTGTGTCAGTTGTGTAAGTGGAGCAGATTAGGAAGCTTCTGTTGGCTGCTTCAGTCCGTACTGATGAAAAATTCAATCCCCGGTTATGGTGCTGAGGTCTTGCCAACAAAAAAGTAAATGTACCTTTTGCACCGTGAGTGACTCCCCTCAGCATCGTGAAGTTGAGCCTAATGCAGAGAGAACTGTAAGAAAACATGTTTAAGGCACAAGTTAACACTCAGAGATGCTGACACTTAGACTGAGCTGGCATAAGAAATGACTCTCAACAGTGGGTTTTGTTATTAGCACAAAATTCAGGTTTCACGCAATAGCAGGGAGGTAAGAATCATTTCTGAAAGGTTAATGTTCTGAGGGATGCCTCACTGGTACAGTGACGTGCAGATATAACAGGCCTCATGTGGAGGCAGCACTCTGCCTGTATAGAAGCTTACAGTCATACAAGAACCGAACTGTCAGCTGTTTCCTGCAGCTAACATTGTTATTGCGTTACAGCTTGCTTATACAACACTAGAAACATGTTTCATGCAATTTAATCTGACAGTAATTCTACTAAATGAAAACAAGAAAAAAAGGTAGTTTAAATATCTTAGCCTTTCTGAATATATTTGCTTAACTTCTCGGCAATTGTTCAGAGCATGACTTATTCCTTTGTGTATCAGAGATCCTCCAGTGCTCTTTCAGCAGCAGTTCATAGCCTAACTGCATTTTGAATTCATTCTTGTTATAATTAAGGGAAAAAAGAAAATCACTGAAACCTTTATGGATGTTTTTCACTTGCTAAGCCAGCACCAGAACTGGGTTCTGTAGAAGCACACTGGTATTCCAGGGGAGGAAGTAAGTATTCTGTGACATCTTCAGGCCTTCACCTGTTTCTTCCAGTACCTACTTTGCTCCAGCTATGCTTTGCACTGACACCTTATTTCTGCCTCCAGGTCCTTCTGCCATTCCCAGCCAGCCCCACCAGGGTGAGTGCTCACAGAGTAGGTGCATGGCTGTGCTGGGGTCCACACAGCAACCACAAGGTAGGTGTGGGTAACCAGGTGCGGTAATCAGCATGCTCACAGAGTAGGCGCATGGCTGTGCTGGAGTCCGCACAGCAACCACAAGGTAGGTGTGGGTAACCCCGTACCCCACCTTTGCTCAAACTGACTGCCAAGTATCACCACCTGCTCTGCAGTGGCCAAAGGAGCCATAGCAGTCAAACAATGCTATCAACTGTATCTTTAACTTCCTACATGGTGTTTTCATATAACCACCTTTTGGAAGCAGAAGTGTGACAGACAGAACTGCTGGTCTGTGAAATGCTTACACGGATTGCTGCTGCTGGTAACATGCTTAAGACTGCTGAAACTGAAAGTGGGGAGGAAATTACAGTTTGTGTATTTGACTGTTCTATTTATAGGGTTACTTTCACTTCTCCTGAAGTGTAGCATGCTTCAAGAAGTACCTATGTGACCGTTAAGTTGGGGTTTTATTTTACCAGACTGTCACAAACATGCAGTCAAATCTCCTACATAACAGGCCAAGAAGCCGGTTGCAAGAACAGCTACACAAGACCCCTAGAATCTTCTTTATACCCCATCTTTAAGGAAATACATGGCTTGTTTATAGGACTTAAGTGATAAAGACTCTGTCTAGTTGACAGGCAAGGTTAAATATTTTCCAGGTAAAACACTTTACCTCCAGAGAGAGCTTACCTTTTTTTTCAAGTTGATGTTTCTTGGCTTCTAAAAGCTGGGCTCTTATTATGTTATTACATCATAAACTAAGACAGAACAATGATCTCCTGTATGCAACTTACGTTATTAACAGAAGTGGCTTATCTGTAACTTGGTTTTTAATGTTATTTCAAACCTCTGAGGCAAAATCTGATTGCCTAACGCAACTGCTTTTGTCATGAGCCCAAGGCTAATGATTTTATCTGCATAAAATTTGTGATTGAGCAGTGCTGCCCAGCAAAGCTCCACCACAGAACAGGCAGTTTTTTGCAGTAATACTGAGAGCATTCTAAGTGTAGGTAAGTCACAGCTTTTTCGTGTGCTGACCTTTCCATGTCATGAAAAAGTGACTGTTTTCATGGGGACTGCAAACTAAAGCCTCTCCTGCACCCGCAGTGACACAACTGCCTGTGTCCAAGTATTATGAAGTGTTCTATTGAATTTTGTGGCTCCAAGCAGAGTAAGTAAATCTCTGGAGGATCAGGGCTTTCTTCACTAATGCTTCAGCTCAGCTGTAATAAAGTATTGTTAAAATGTTTTGGGATGTCAGATGGCACTTCCAAAGTACAAACCAGAAAAATAACTAATCATGACTTTTGCTTCAGTGTGTAATCCTGCTGTTAAACTAAACTGTCTTGTGAGTAATACAGTCACTTAAAATACAGTCATTTTATCTATTACAGAACTTCTTAAAAAAATCCTGATGTAGTAAATTGTGCTCGTCCAAGATCTTACATGGAAACAATTGTTATGTTCAACTGACATCATCATAGTCAATTTTTAGTGCTGTTAGTGAGGATCACCCATGCACAAACACAGAATACTATGAAAGGAAAGGTATTTGCTAAGCTGCATTTGACTGGCATACTCAGGAGCCCTTCTAAAGCACAAAGCAAAATATAACATGCAAAATGAGATGAACAGATTTTAATATCATGGTGTTCTATAGAAACTGAGATGATTAAGAGATGTGGTGTATTTCAGAGTCCATAGATGACATTTCCAGGGTATGTAACCTATTCCAGAAGTTGAGAGTTCTCTTGAAGCACAAGCTGAACTACTTCCCTAATATGCAGGACCCCACTTTTTACATACTTATATTGCTGTGGGGATTGTAAAACAATTGAGGGACTAAGGAAAAAGGACAACTTGGACAGAAGTTTGCTCTTGCTGCCAGCAGCACCTTCTTATCACTACATGTCCTAACAGCAGTAAGGAGCGAAATAATATCCACCTTCACAGGAAGTTACCCGCTTGCTAGCACACTTGCAGTGACCTGGATCTACAGAGCAATGGGGCATTGTAAGTTTCACTATTTACTGAGGCTTCTATGTGTATCTTCTATAGGAAATGGATACTAGGGTCAACTGGCTATTCATCCTTTATTTCATTCAGAGATTTTGAATTGAAGACTCAAATCTCACTTTCTGAAAATTAACAAACCAACCTCTTGCTTGTATTTTTCATAAATCTTTCACTAAAGAGAACACAAGTACGACTACTACTGTATGCTGGCCACCACCACTCTCATTACAGCAGGCTCTTGCTAGGTCTTAGTGGGCTGTAGAGAATTAAATGAAACTACTAAATGCCTAGATTGACTTAACCAGGAAAAACAGGCATCTACCTAGAAGACAGCAACATAGCTAGGATCTGAATAGCTTGCAAAGAAGTGTGGAGCAGTAACAGGTAGCACTTTGTAGATTAACACATAGCAGAGTAAGCATTTGCACTTCAGCACTTATAGCCAAAAAAAAGGAACCCCTACTTTGTATCAGTAGTGATGAGGTAAAAAAGGATTACAAAAGTATGCGAGACCGACAAAGCTTTCTAGAACAAAAGAGAGGAACCTTTAATAATCCAAACTGAAAGAGACCTCAAAACCTCACAGCAGGGTCTGCTATAAGGTTAAGACTAGGCTGCTTTGCCCAGTTAGGTCTTGAAACCCTCCATAGGCTTCCTTTCTACAGGAAAAACAAAGTCCTCCCTCACGGCCTGGTCGAGGCTGGGCCGATGTGGACGATGCCTGCCTGCACAGCCCCTCTCTTCCTTTTGGACCCCGTTTCGGGGCGGAGGGGCAGGAGGCGGCCATTGTCCTGCAGCCAGCCCTGGAGCGGAGGGCGGAAGGCCCCTTCCCACAGAGGCCTAGCTCCTCGCTACCACAGCTGGTTTCTGCCGTCACTGCTACCTCACCCGGCCGCAGCGTCACCCGCGACCTGCGACAACGACTGGCGCCCAAGGGCTCCCTCCCCAACCTCGCACCGTTCAAATCACACGCAACCCCTCCTTCCGCATCTCGCACCGCTTATCTTCCGGCCGACACTGCTGTGACACTGTCGTCAAAGCACAGGAGGCCGAGCAGCACGTCAGCTGCGGAGAGCCGCGCCAAGGCTCCCCTCACCGGCCACCGCCGCGGCACTCGCCGCCCCGCGCCCCCGACCGGTGGGAACAGGTCAGAACCGGCTGGGACCGGGGGCGCCGCACCGCGCTGGGCCCTACCATCGGTGCCGCTCGGGCGTGGGGTAGGGGAGAACACGACAGGGGGATGTACCATGTGGCGGCGGGGAGGGGCGTGCGGCGGTGAAGTGCAGTTGTTAAGTCTGAGTCTGAGGTAAACGAGGCGTTTGCTGGCTTGCGGATGCGAGTCGAGTGTGCTGCAGGTCCTGCTCTGCTGCAGGACACTTAATCAAGCGTGGTGAACGGGCTTGCACGGTCTTTCCGTGGTGCAGAAGTCACCTGAGGTTCTTCTGCTTGTTAAAACAGGCTTTGTTGGAGTCATAGAATAGGTTGGGTTGGAAGGGACCTTTAAAGCTCATCCAGTTCCAACCCCCTGCCATGGGCAGGACACCTTCCGCTAGACAGGTTGCTCCAAGCCCCATCCAGCCTGGCCTTGAACACTGCCAGGGATGGGGCAGCCACGGCTTCTCTGGGCAACCTCACCACCCTCACAATAAAGAATTTCTTCCTAATGACTATCTACCCTCTTTCAGTTTAAAGCCATTCCACCTTGTCCTGTTATTACTTGCCCTTGTAAAAAGTCCCTCTCCAGAGTTTCTGTAGGCCCTTTTTAAGTACTGGAAGGTTAGGGTAAGAAACAGCTAAAGGTGGTTGGATTTAAACAGCTTTCAAGAGAGAATTAGTGCATTACATTTAAAAATAGGATAAAAAAGCATCAAAATAATTTGCAAATCAATAATTCTGATGTATCATCACACCACAAAAAGCAACTTTTTAAAATCAGGCAACTTGAGCGCCTGTGATCTCTTGGGAAGCAAATGATCCTATTGATTACATAGCAGAAATGCTCCATTTCTTGTGTTTGTCCAGAACTACAGCTGAAATAATGGTGCTGGTGAGGCCTTCTGCCCCATCCAGCACGACAGCTGCTGCACACACTACCCAGGAACCAAAACCCTGCCGCTCCTGATACCAAATGTGTCAACTTCTGCAAGGTGGCTTCTACTCTTCTTGGAAGCAGTACCCAGAAAAATCCTTTCAGGATCAAACTGGGATGAGAGGCAACACCAGTGTGACGATGGGAGGCTTGTCGTACATCAGTATCTCTTCTTTGATGTGGTCACTCCACTTTGTACAGAATAAAAGTACAATTCACGTATGTAGTCACTGGATTTATAGTGTTTTGCTGGAGGTGTTTCAGACATTAAATGAGTTGTGCTGGTGAGAGTCATCTTCCTCCACCTCATTTTTTTCAGCTGTATCTACTTTTATTTATCTTCTAATCTCAGCATAACCAATCAGCAGAGACATGTGAAAAATTTCTAGCCTAGATTTTTCTAGGTGTATTAAGATTTTTTAAACCAACTGGGTCTGCACAGTCATACCCTTCAGAGAGTGAAAGTCAGTACTGTTATCACTGGGAACACTTCTTTTGCCAGTTACATTTCCAATAGTCTCAGTTAGATCTATGAAAATGATCTAATAAATAAGAGAACTGCTAATGAAATAAACCGTGCCCTATGATCCTAGTGTTCTTCATCTCAGATGTAACTGTTGCTTCAAGAACAGTCAACAGTGTGTGTGAATATAAATGACATACATACAATGATGTTAAAAACATGTATCTAAAAAGCACCTCTGATTTATAATGCCCAATGTATTGCATACATGTGTCCTTATGTTATTGTCATTTCACTGCCTTCACGTTAGCTTTTTTCTCTTCTAACTCCTCCCCACTCTCTTGATTTTTGCAGTCATGGTGTGGACTAAATTAGCAATGAAGTTGTTTTAAAAAGTGATCCACAAGGGAAAACAGTGGTGAGGTTTACTTGTAAGAGTTCCTTGATTAACCATGATTCTATTTTTCTACTAACCTGGAGAGACTCTTCCCTTGAGATATGACATTTTAATTAATATATTCTTCACCTTCCTTTCAGTTCTAAATCAAGAACCATCTAGCATGAAAGGTATGGCTAGAGCTGAAAAATGCTTTGACATAATGACAAGCTAATGATATACTACACTTGTTATTTAGTCTGTAGCGACAAACGGCTTGTAGCCAGGTGGTTTTCCTGATTGCAATCTGATCTATGATCTGTCACGTCTTGTGAGGGAGGGTTGCTTCCATCTCAGTATTCCCAAGAAGGCACATCCGTTGATATTGGACTTTATTCAGGGCCATCTTCAGTGTTGCAGCCTCATCAGGAGATAGTAGAGAACATAAGGAGCTCGAAAAAGCAGTTTTAAAGTTTGAAATAGAAACTGTATTGTGAGGTGACTTTCCTTGAAAGTGAGGAATCTGTCTTCTTCAATGTGCTGAGAAATTATAGAATTAATAGGAATTTGATAGGAAGTGGTCAGTAGCTACCAAGATTTCATTTCTGTTTTATCTCCTTGAAAATGATTCACCAAATATTCAGCATTTCTTAAGACTAAGACCAAAACAGGCAAGGAAGAATGCACTTTGTATTAATTGAGACAATTATGCTTAACTTCACAATGACCCAAATACTCCAGGTTTGAGTTACAGCAAGAGTGTATGAAAGGATCCTGTATATTATTCTTGGACCTGTGGAATATGATGATCCACGTATGACAAAGTAGTAACTGAAAAGCTTATAGTAATTTATGTTATTGTTAAAGTCAGGCCTTAAGAACAGTTTGGCCTTCACACTTTTTAGAAAGAAATTTTGTGTGAAACCAAGTAGAAAGGGATTCTGATCATGGCTGGGACCTTTGCTGCATTGATCATGCATGACTTTTTGTAAGTCATTCAGAGTGAGGAAAGAACAGTATAAAGGGAAACACGTGATTTCTCTTTTTGTTCACTTTACTTTTACTTTACGTGCATCCTAGCAGAAACAAATAATGTAGTAGAAAGAGTAACTACAGTTCTTTAAGTACTGTCCTACTCTGGAATTCTGTAAGTCTGCCAGACTTCCAGACAAGACAAAGGTCAGACCCACTGATTTGTCCTCTGCCTTTTACTTGAGAGATGTTATTTCTAATGAGACGCCTCTCGCTGTTGCTACCCATCTGTGAACATTCTGGAGGTTGTAATTTGCACTGTAACCCGGAGGCAGAGGTTTACTTTCAGATCCGCATCTAGAGCTGCCCTGTTAGGACTCGAAATTGCTCTACTGAGTCCTGTCAGTGAGACGCCTCCTTCAGCTAACATGGGAGAAGGCATAGAGAAACCCACTGTTTTGTGTTTGAGCTCTGCAATCACGAGATGTTGAATGTACACCATTTACTAATGACTCTAGTAACGGTGCTAGAGGGACCATTTTAATTTATTCTACTGCTCAGAACCCGCTGTAAAGCATCTTTGCCTCCCGCAGCACTGCATGGCCGAGCTGCCCTCCCCTGCTTGGCAGCTCTTGCTCAGCTCTTAGCGGCACCTGAAGACTACAGCGGCAAACCCACAGCCCGTTTCGTAACCACCAGCGCGCATCTTAAACTAACACTGAAAGGGCGGGAGCGGCGAGCCCCACCTGACCCAGACGAGCCTCTGGGTTTACATAAGCTCCCCGAGGGCAGGGATGGGGAGAGACGGGATCAACCGTGCCACTGTTTCACCGCCCACCCGCCGGGCGCTGAGGGGAGCCCTGCTGCCACCGCCACCGCGCATGTGCAGCCCCCACGCACACCACGGGAGCGTGCAGGGCGCTATACATAACAGGTCAGCGGCCGCGCGCCCGCAGGATTTGCGCGTGCGCGTCCTGCTAGGACGCGGCGCCTCTGGGAGCCTCCTCGAAGCCCCGTGCTCATCCGGGCTCCTCCGACACGGGCAAGGGGAGGGGAGGGGGCTACGTCTCCGCCCCCAGCGCCGCGTACCCGCCGCCTTGCACCGCCCCGGCGAGTGGGATTCTAGCCGACATCGCGGCCTGCCCCGGCTGCCCTCCGCCCCGCCGCGGGAGCGGGTCCGGTCGGGCCCCTCGGCTTCCCCGTGCCTGCGCCTCCTACCCCTTCACTCCTCAACACCGGTAGTAAACACACTTCAGAAACGTGAGGGCCGGTGGTCACGTGGGGGTGAGCCTGGCCAATCGGCGGCGCGGGGCGGGGCGCGCGGCGGAGCCCCGGCGCCCGGCGCAGAGTCACAGGGCGAGCGGCGAGGCGGCGGCAGCCGGCTGGTACGAGGGTGTGCGGCCGCACTTACGGCCGCTTCTCGCGGGCAGGGGTGGAGGGGGGGGCTCGGAGCCGCCACCGGATCCCGCTCTCCGTCTCCGCTCTCCGTCTCCGCTCTCCCCGGCGCGGGGGCTCCGCGGGGGTGATGCGTCCCCGCTGGGCGGCCGCCCCTGCTGTCTCCGCTGGGTCCTAGAGCCGCCTGAGGTGAGGGCCCGCGGGCCACCCGCCGTTGCTCGCCCGGGCGCCGAGCGGCGGCGCCGCGCCATGAGCGGCCCCGCGGGCGGCGGCGGTGGTGGTTCCCGCTGAGCGCCCGCGGCCCCGGCCCCGGCCCGGCCCGGTCCGGCGGCGACATGGGGGTGAACGCCGTGCACTGGTTCCGCAAGGGGCTGCGGCTCCACGACAACCCGGCGCTGCGGGAGTGCATCCACGGCGCCGATACGGTCCGCTGTGTCTACATTCTGGACCCCTGGTTCGCCGGCTCCTCCAACGTGGGCATCAACAGGTGGCGGTGAGTGTGGGGCGCCGGGAACGGGGGGATTCGATCCCCGCGTTACGTGTGCGGTCACGCCGCCTCCTCACCATCCGCCCCTCCGACCGGCTGGGCCGCCGCCAGCGCCGGCTTCCCTCGCCCGCTTGCTTTCCAGCTCTCCCCGCCTCTCGGGGGCCGTGCTGCACACTCAGCCCCTGCACCGGCTCGGGTGAGAAAGGGGAAGAAGCTGGGAAGCTGGAGGAGGGGGGGATTGTTCCTGTTCCCCAGGACGGCGAGTCGGTGCCCGAGCGCACCCCCGGAGCCGCCCGCGCTGGAGCTGAGAGTGGGGCTGCTGCGGGGTGCGAGCTCTGGGAGAGCAGCCCGAGGGGTGGCTTCCTTCCTTCATCTCA